ACACCACTAAGAATCGAAAGTGGAAATAGTGAACGGGTTCCTTCGCAAGACCGACCCTTCACTCAGCCCAGATGACATCGTCCAAAAGGTCAAAATGTCTTGATTTACACTGCCATACGGTCATATTCTGAAAGGTAGAGACGCATGATTGTGAGGACGCTTGAGCTTCGCAATGATCCGCATCGGAAGGATTACGAGATGTCGAGTCGCTGGACTCGCTGTCCAGCCCACTCGCATTGAATTCAGCGTTTACGGTGAGTGCATAAAATGCGTGGGTGTGAACGGTGCTGTAGTAAGGAAATTTGGGCAGATCGCCTCAAGGAATTGACCCACTCCGATTCTCCCCTCACTCCCTACTTACGCTTTACCCTCTTCGGCTTTCTTTGCAAACGTTCGCTCAAATGGCCACCTCTCTCAGTCGCAACAAGCGGACCGTATGACAATGGTCACCTCCAAATCGCTTGCAATAGCGCCTTTTGATGAGTAGCATCGCCGGCTTGTGGTACGGCGGCGCATGGGCGATCGGCGTCTTTGCTGCTGCACCACGTCCAATATCGTCACCATTTTTGATTGCGTTCTTGCAATGTCATCATCTCACGCAGAGTCGAATGAGATCTGCGTGTGCCAAATGCACGCAAGGCCAAACAGCGATTCGCATCAGCCCACCTCGTTGGACTCCCACTTGCACTTCCTCAGCACTCATGCTGCCTTCCTGTAGACGTGTCCTCTCTCACGTGGCATCATTACTTGCATGTTCTTCTGCATCGACAGCACCACACTGCTGCATTCCTTTTGAAAATACCCAGTCATGGTGCCCATTCCACCACAAACAAGACCGATTATTTGGTGCTACGAGAGGCGTGGTTCTCAGTAGTTCGTGAAAATCCGTTGCAACCCTTTTTGCAGTCCACGTCGGCTGAACTCGCATGAGGCAGTAGGGTGATGACTGCTTCACACACACCCACACACTCGTCCTTGTTCTCTGGACTTGCTCCACTAGAGTGCTCTGCTCGTCCCTATGTGGTGACGCGTTGCCTTGAGTTGAGTGCTCCAAATGCGCCGGTTCTGCTTTCATCGCTTGGCAAGACGTTCTAACGGCAACCAACTGAGCAACTCCATTGGCGCTGTTGGCGTCACTGTGTGGCAGTGGCACGAATGCCGCACCTTCAACCAAAGTCATTTGAACGGTGTAGTGGGAGACTCACGTTTGTCCAGTTTGCTAACAATAGTTCCCTGGAGAAACGCCTTCAAATGTGGGTGCTATTAGCCCTCAATGCATCCTACCACCTCTTCGCAACGAGCTGCGTGACGCTGTCCCAACAAAGGCTGTGTGTGTCCGTGTGTAGTAGGGAAAAGAAGAGAATTACAATCTTTTCACATGCTTACGTTCACAGTTGGGAGGGTGGAATCGTTGATGTCCTCCCCTCCATCCCTACGCGAAGTCTCAATAAACCCCTCGCCCACAGAGAAAATTGAGGTGCACTTGCCATTCATGTCCACCACAAGTTAGCCAATGCAACCTCTCTGCAGACTGGAGAAGGTCCTTCCTGTTGAAAGCGGGTTAAAATCAGTCAGTAGACTTTAAAAGGCAATTCGAAGTTGATGTGGCAAAGTATTAGACAAGGCTTAAACACTATGAACTGCTATGAACCATCCCATCAGCATCAGCAATGACTGTCAAATCTGTGCCTTTATAAAATGGCTCCAATGCCATCGTTGCAGTTACGGCGATGGTGTACTGCTACATCTTATCATATGTTATCATGCTTATGAAGCACTACCTCCACCACCATTACCGACACCACTGATTCCGTATGTCTATCTTACAACAGGGAGGAAGAAGTAAAGACAAATGGGTAAGCCTCCCCACTTGGAGTCAATGAATGCGGGAACTAGCGGCGTCACAGAAAGGACTTCACACTGCATCGACATGTCATCTTCCTTCTCTATATCAACTAGAGTAAATGTGCCTTAAATGCTAAAACAAACCTGATGACCACCGCAGTAAATGGCACTGTAATTAGTTGCTCAGGCACCCTGGCCGAAGAACTATCACCCAAAAAATGTGTTTGAGTTAGAACTAAATTTCAATTTGTTTTCCTGATCATCCTCTAATCATTGAGTTAATTCCCCACTGAGGCTTCGTTAACTCTTCTTTTGCACTTAGATATATTTTCCTCGCTGTTTAAGTTGCCCTTATGGGAGGAGGTAGTTGGTCAGTTCGAACACGAGTTCAGTGATTGAGGAACGCGAGAATGCTTTGCGGAGTGACGCCGGTCCGCCGCCTTAGTCATACCCAGGCCACACTCTATCTTTTAAAAGATGCCCAACAAACCCCTCAAAACACTCCTCTTAGGAAGTTAGGGAATCAGGATCCTAAAGCAGGCTGAAAGGTCCTACAAAGGCCAATAGACTTCTTGCAAAGCAAAAACAAATTCTTCCACTAAACCTAATTCAATCGCCAACAATAATCAGCCGCAACTTATTCCGGAGTACGCAAGGACGAAAGAATAGTTATTTAGTGCAGCTCCATTGAAACAACATCGAAAGCAAAAAGAAATCAACGGTCTCAGAGCTGATTGCTTACAGTTAGCCTTTCCTTTTGCCTTTTTCATCACATCTAATCATCATCTCCCTTCATATTCAACTCCATTTTACACATCAATGGATTTATCCGTGCCAGACCAACACTTATTCGGGTAAACAGGCATTTATTATCACGCTTAAAACGTAAAAGACAAAATTCCCCCTGTTCGAAGATTGTGCGAGTACAATGCCAACAATGTCATCTCTGGTCTATAAAGAAGCTCAAGATTTGAAATGAAAAATTTCAAAGTTAATGCTGTACTACTTTGTTTATGGGACCACATGACCTTTGGCCGTCATTCTAGGATTTGTCTGACCCTTGTACACGTGGGCTGACCTTCGGGCCATGCTCAGAGCCATTTGCCTTGCCGTCTACTGAATACATGCATCCAGCTGCACTTACTGACTTCTTACACAACACAGCACAATACTGCTGGCAAAATATTAGCATTATTTTGATAGTCTGTAATGGTCTATTGTTGCTATGAGTACTGAGTTGGAACTACTGGTGGTATGGGACAATGTTTTCCGAATTTCTTCTCGTCGCTTATGACCTTCTCTTGTTTTGCACAGTGTCGATGAAATGGGCGTCAAGTTGGGACGCGTACAAAATATTTTGTTGTAAGTGGTGTTCCCAGTCATGCAAGTGGATGGAAGGATGGCTCAAATGGTTGCCATAACCACAACCATGATTAAAACGGTTCAACGGTTGAACATGCTAAGACTTTTCAGGAAAGTTTTAAAATGCGCCCCTCTTTACGGGTATGGAGTACATTTGTTTTTTTACTGAAGTGTCTCAGGCACCAACATGTGCTGCTCTGGTCTTCGAAACCGTCTATCTTTTATAATAATTTTTATTTTAACGTTCGTAAAACAAGCAAATCAAATGCATGACATTTGAATCTAACATTTCGCAACAGGTATTGTTGAGTTAAAGGTATTGAAGATCTGCAAGCTGTAATGACTGTCATGACTAGACATCTGTTGGACATTTCTAATGGATCCATTTTTGCAATCAGTCTTGGCAATGAGATGTCGAATGTTCGTACTACACAGTAGGATTCTCGGGTCGGTGCTGATAACCTTCAGCTACCACCTCAGTCATTTATGGTGCTAGAGGCGCTCTCTGTGATATCCCAATTGCTCTTACTGCATCTTCATTAACGCAATATCACCACCGTTAGTAGAAGTGGCTACAGTTATTGCCTCATTCACGCCAACACTACCGCCACCATTCCTCTCGCATCGCTTTTTTAGATCAAGTGGCTGAGATAGACATCCGATGGGACAAATGGGAGCTTTCTGTTCACAAGACTTGCTCTGCATTGGCGCCACAAATAAAGTAGTGGATGGATGCACAAACGAATGTCCAGATGAGCGGCACACACATTTCATGGTCTGAGTGAAGTATACACAGGTTTGTAGGAAATAGTAGTATGCAAGTTAGTGCTTTTCGACAGAAAAATAAGATAAGAGTTAGCAAATGTTATCAGTAATAAGAAAAGGCGCTCTATGGAGAAATATAGTGCCACTACACTGATCTGTGGAACGGAGAATCGAAATAAGCGATGAGTAGATCGTCAGAATTCTTTGTCCCATCCACTCACATCATCTGGTGGCTCTTCATCATCGGGGCTGTACTTGTCGAAGTGTGTAACGTCGGTTGGTGAAGATATCTGAGTGGTAAGGATGAAAGAGAGTAGTCATACTCGTGAATCGGTTATACCGGAGATAAGAAACGCATACCTGAGGAAGGTATGGAGGTGTGAGAGTTCTATTTCGAAGACCTCTCCAGTTGAAGCCTTCAAACCAGACGTGTTTCTCAATCTCCTTCAACCCTCCTTTTCCGTAGCCAAAACGCTCGGTGGGATTCTCTCTGCAATGCAGCACCTAAATGTGGTGAACATTCCTACGACTGGCATCCGCAAGTGTAATTTATCGTCTACCGTTGATGTACCTGCACAACCTTTTGATTAGAAGTTGGGCATTTCGAGTGATTTTTCGTGGAAATTCGACAGCATCGATTCCCCTGAGAATGATGTTGTAGGTCTTCATGGGCTCTTCAGAAGTGAATGGCGGCCTACAATGGGGAGCGGATACCGCTTTTTAAACATCTGCTACACTCACCTGTGTGATGAAGCCCAAAAAACTTACGTCCCATTCATGAGCTCGTAAATGAGAATTCCCAATGACCACGAGTCGGCGAAAAAGTCATGTCCTTTGTTGAGAATAATTTCTGGAGCAACATATTCTGGTGTGCCGCAAAAAGTCCACGTTTTTCGTCCAAATCCGATCCTTTTAGCAAAGCCCAAGTCTGTCTGTTAGGAAAGGTAGAAATCGCAGCACAGGTGCTTCGTAAACTCTCTGCATTATTTACTAAAATAAGGACGGCAATGAGGCTACCACTGATTCAAGCCCTACTCACCATTTTACAGTAGCCAAATTGGTCAAGAAGCAGATTTTCTGGTTTGAGATCGCGATAGACGATGCCTCGTGAGTGCAAGTAGGTCAGCGCCTCCACGACACAAGCAACGTAGAACTGTGTGGCTGACTCCGTGAAGGCAAGGCTGTAAATGGCATAACCATGTTAAGTGCACACCTCGCTATTCACAATGGTGCATCATTGCGCCGAGTTAATTGGTACACTATTTGGTTATAGTGGGAAAAGGAGGAAGTTGACTAATTCTCCCTCGATGTCTGACTTCAGGCCAAAGGAAGACGATGTAAAGAAGCGAATAAATAAATCGTTTTCGCCCCTAACACCAACAGCGAATTGCTGTGAACTCAAGGGAGACATACCGATTGCGGAGTATTGTCCATAACTCGCCACCAAGACACGCCTCCATGAGGAAGTAGAGGTATTTGCGATCCTTGAATGTTCTGTACAGCCTAAAGGGTGTCATGCGACATCATGTGTTAAGACAAACAAGTGAGGCTTCACAACACCCTCATGGATGATCCGCTACTTTACTATCACAAAAATATTTTTTACGTATTTTCTCCTCGATTGCGGAATGATGAATGAAGTAAATGAAAACAGCAAAAGCATGCATTTTGTGACATTTGAATGGTACCGGACGATGAATTGGGAGTGGCAGGACATGAGGATGAAACGCTCATTCATCACGTGCTCCTCCTGCTTTGTCAAAACAACGTGATGCTTCTTCAACCTCTTCAAAGCAAACGTTCGTGAAGTGTCCCTCCCGAAGTAGACCTTTTTAGAGTTGGAGGCATTTGTTTAAAGGAGTGAAAAAGGAAACAAGATGTGATTACCGCTAGTCAAATGCGTAAAACTTAAACACTTAATACGCGCCTGTTCGTGCAAATTCTAAATCGAAGGACGTTTAAGGGACTCTCCTCCTTCAAATCCATTGTGTTTAATGCAGAAAGGTTACGAATACGTAGAAACTGTGGTACACGACGTCTCTACAACAGTCAATTCAACTGTGCGATGGAATCGAAGCTCCAAGAGTGTAATCGCTTTTACAAACAGGTGAAAATTCCTACTTCATCTAATATGTGATGCGATTCATTTTTATTTCTTTCTTTTAGCATCCCTTAACCGTAGCTGAGTAAGCAATGGAGATGGAAACTTGCCAATTCGACTCGTCCAAATCCACCTACGCCCAACGTAGCTACGACGCTGAGGTCCTGCACGCTCTTCCCTTCGATATCGAGATTCGTTGTCCACTTCTCACTGAAAAATGGTATGTTGAAAATGTTCATTGACTTAACTAAAACATTCTTTTAAACATGGGGAAACTGCCTCCCTCCACATGCTATAATTAAAGTAGCTGCGCAGCAGTTGTATTACTTTACCAAGCAAGTGTTGCTGAGTAGGCACAAGTTACCTCATTTGTGTAGAAAATGGAATAAAAAACAAGAAACGCATATTCTCATCACATGATGCCATTGTTCCTCGATAATGTACAACAAACCCTGCATCATCTTACACTTCCTGCTCCACCAAGTCTTCGTCGGAGTAGTGCCTTTCCAAGAAGCCCAATTCATCCACCAACAGTTTGTAAGATCTACAGCAAGTTGATGTAAGGGAAACAAGTTATTTCTGTCTCTAGGTGAGGACTCTAAGCCTCAGCTTCACCTTCGATGTGTGAGTCAGTAGTGGTTGCATTAAGAAGTAGGTAAAGGAGTGCCGACTGTTGTCAGTCCCTTCTGATTTCCAATGTCCTGCCACATTCACAGGTCGATGAGTGATCAAGTGTGTATGTTTAGCATAAAATGCATGCATATGAGTTTGAGCAATCTCATCACTTACTCCCTATCCAGCACTAGACAGTCGACGCCGTTCGGGTAGGCCGCAATTATGTTGGCAGTGCGTACGTCCTCGCTGAGAAAGAGACAAGCAGACATCAGCATTAAGACAACCCAGCGATGCAAAAATGCTGCACCTATTCGATAAAAGGATAAAGTCGCACAGCATGCTAGAATAGGTTGAAATGGGCCACCAAGAGGCAATTAAGTACTTAAAAGCTGCCTTCAATTGTGTCACATCCTGGGTGAGGGAATTGAGGAATGCGTAAAATGTAGTCCATTAGAGCGCTTGGATGAGGAAACAGTTAGGATATGAAAGGTGTGGAACGAAACCTTCGTCTGTTCAGGTGAAGATTACGCATTTAAAATAGAGAACAAGAATACTAAAGGCAAATAAAAAAAACTTTGAAATGCTCCCTCCAATCTTGGAAGACGTACTTTTCCAAAGCCTTCTCGCCAAACCACTCGCCTCGACTCATGAGGCGGATAAATGTCTCCTTCTCCTCCTCCTTCTTGTCCTCTCCCTTCGGGGAAGTAAGGGTAAATGGTGGTTCTCTTGAAAGTCGAGCACTTTGTGTCACCTCCACCTGGCCTGAGGCGATGATGTAGAAGGTGTCGCCCTTGGCTCCTTGACGAATCACGTACTCGCCCGGTTCGTAGTGCACTTCCTCCAGAATGTCCGCAAATTTGGCCAGTGTCTTCGACGTCAGCTGAGCAAATGTCGGAACGCTGAGTATGGGAAACCGGTAAACACAGTTTACAAGTGAATAAAGATTGGTTTGATCCACGAAACTTGTAATATTCGTTCTAGGAAATGATTTTACATTAATATTCTAGTCAAAATGCAAAAATAGTGTCGCTTATGATCCTATCTAATGTCCAAGATGTGACGCTAGCTTCCGGAGCACAAAAGCATCTTTTAACATGCTAAAAGTGCTTAAGATTGTTGTAAGGAAATGCACAGGACCATTTTATGCGCAAAAGTTCAGTTCTCCAAACATTTGATGGTGTATCTTCATGGCAAAGAGGAGTTTTGCTCCCTCCTGTGATCATCCAAAAGCCATCTTCCCTCTTTCTCCTCTTCTAGCCTATGCATTTTGTCTATGACCAATTCCGTCTACTCATCTCTCAAGTAGACACAAGGTAAACCTGGTCAGAACAATTTGACAGCATTTCGTACACCTTGATGACTTTCTCACAATCGTCATTGCTTTAAATTTCAAAAAAGACTTTATTCCAGCCTAACTTGTCATTTACTCCCTACAACAACAACAACAATCTCACGAATCCAAGTTCCTGTCCTCGGTAATCATGTAGGCAGAGGTTTTTTCTGTTCGTAGAACACTTGCTTACTACCGAACGAATGCATGAATGAACGTGACCGAAGAATGAAAGATGAGAGCACTGGCCTCTGGTAAATGAAATCGTGTTCCGCGGGTAAAAAGCATAAGCCTCATAGAGGGATCGGTGGATCTGGTGGTCCTCAGCGTCCCATCACTACACGGCCTGCCAGTTGTGGTGATCTCGTTCAGACAGAGTGATGTGCTTCCAAGGATGTGGTGTAAAAAGCATTTCATTGTTTTGCTTAATGGAGTCAACGGTTCAAGAGTTGGAAGTATTTACAAATGCTCGAATAACTCGCTCTGCAATTCCAGCAAGTAGTCTTCACAGTTGGCACCGCCAAGGCGAATGTTGTGTAAAGATGTCATAATAAAAGGTTGAGTTAGAGAGAGTGAAAAATTTGATTCATGGGCTACCTTTTGAGGAACTCCAAGTGGCGTTGGTGTTTTAGGATGCCGGTTTGCATCATGATGGCCTGGAATGCCCTCCGGTCGATGGCCCACAGTGCGCAAGGAGTGATAGCTGAACGGCAAAAAGGGGACACTATCATCATTCCTCTCGCATCCTCCAAAAATCACGCAACTGCTTGTCCATCGGTAAAAGCAAGGTAAGTACGGAAAGCATCGGCTTCTCTTCATGCCAGCAGTGTTGATAGATGGTAGAGGCTCACCTTTCACCGTAGCCGTTCGCATGCAGTTGTAGAGGATTGCCAGTTCACCGAATACCGTTGGGTAGGTGATTATGCGAAGTGGAGCTCCCTCTCGGCTAACTTCTATCACTCCTTCTACAAAAGGCAAAAGTAAAGAACAGTCGGTGAGTTCATTAAAATGGAGTCAATTTTGCTTGCTTCTCATACGTGAAGCATGAAGGACAGATAGGTGAACCCATTGGCCCCTTCCACCAAGCCAGCAATAGGTACAGACAAATCACAACCCTATTGAATAAAAGGGGCCTTTTTTACAATTTGCCCGACTTCCAGCCAGCTATAACGAAAAGGAAGGGTCACTTTGTTGAGGAAAAGTTTTTTTTTTTTAATTTAACTGCAAGTCAGTCACTGCCTTCGCCGTATGCCGTTTCCTTTTCCTTTAGCCGATTGCTTGTCTGCTTGCTTCGAATTCGGTGTTACCTTTACGACTGCGAGAGGATATTTGAAGGTGTGCCAACCTCATTATTCAGTGGAATTAGATCAAAAACTTGCCAAGAGGGGTGCTGAGATAGAGCCGTACCCCATGGCTCCGTGCAGGTTGATGTGTTGATGAATTTCGCGATTCTCCTAATGGTGTGAATAATTTCAATTTCAATGCCGCGACCACTAAGAGGAGGGAAGGGAGGACAGAAATAAGTTCTCCGATGGACTGTCTTGAGTGTTTTTCTCAATGAAAGTGCTGATAGGACAATAGAAATGCCTCAATCACCATCATAATCTCCAAAAATGCTGAGGGAAATCGGTAAGACACACGAATCCCCCACATTACTTTCTAACAACAAGAACAGAACACCAATAATTTGCATGACTTAGTGATTCTGAATGTCAAATGCCTGGTGGTGTGGCCTTTGTGCCATGTCGAGAGTCGAAATCTCTCCTTCGCACCGAAAATTCCAGTTTTTTTTCGAACGTTAAATGACTTTCTATAATCAGGGCAGTAGTCTGCCATCTTTTGCATACTCAGTAACTTCTCTTACGAATCTTGTAAGGCAGATTTGTGCATAGCGTTCATTAAATTTCCAAATTTTACAAAACTATGCAGCTTTCTAGTCATTGCTGTTGATACCTCCAAGTTGTTATTCCGCCTTAATAATTTTGTGTGTATAGGTGATTGGAGCACTTCAAAGCCTCAAATTAGTGGAAATGGAGTGATGCGTGTCGTCTCAGCCCACCTTATGTCTTTGCGACCCACACTACTGTTGCGGGTGGTAAGTAGTATTCACGAATGGTTTAAATGCAAAAAACGGCACATTAAACTCTCGATAGATATCCTTCCTAAGTGGGTAGTCATTCATTTGGAAATGTGTAGCCGGCAGAGGTAGTTAACAAGTAGAGGCTGGTGGCCACCTTAGTTTTAAAAGTACTTTTGCTTATAAGTGATATTAATGGTAGAATGCTCACACAATTACCCTCCCGGCGGTTAGACACGCATTCGAGGGCAGCGCACTAAGTAATGAGCACATTTTGTCTAGGCTCTGACAATCCTCTTTCTCTTTGGTCACAAATGACTTGCTGGGTTGGGAGGAGGAGGGGAGAGGTGTTAAAGTTTACTTTCTGACTCATTTAGTTGTAGCAACACATTTTAGTCAGCATGGTCAACTGACAAGCAGGTGTTTTGTCCAGCGCTTGCGAGTTGACTCCTTTTTGTGTAGCTTCGACTCATTTGTAATAGCTAATTGTGGTGGCAGGATTACAAGTGGTTGAAGAGTATACACATCCGTGTCTACTCGGCCATCTGGTTGGAAGCAAACAT